AGCACTCACGTGCCAGAGAGGCCTACCACGTATACGGCACTAGCAGGCAAGCGGGCACCACGACACATCACGGCACAAGCAACAGGCAAGCGGGCACCACGACACATCGGTCCAGCAGCATGGCAGGCCAGCGTTCCTTCTTTCTCGGTGCTGCGGCGTGCCAGCAGTGAGGAGAGCGGGGGAGGGTGGGGAGAGCGGCGGAGCGGGTGGGGGGGGAGAGTGCTCTGAGCGAGTGGGGGCCCACCTCCACGGGGAGGCACCCCCGTCCGTCTGCGGCTCCGCTCCAGCTCACCAAGGCAGGGTCCCCCCGCCACGGCGCAGCGGCCCCCCAGTATGGGGGCCGCGCGCACCAGGCAGCCCCCCGAGCTAGCACTAGCAAACAGGGGGCCTGCGTCCATATGTTTACCCAGGGCCCCGCCTCTTTTTGTGGGCGAAGTGACGCGGACCCCCAAAGGCCTTATCCTTATTCTTATCCTCATCCTCCTTCTCCTCTTCCTCCTCCTCATCCTCCTCCTTCTCCTCCTCCTTCTCCACCTCCTCCTTCTCCTCCTCCTCCTCCTCCTCCTCTTCCTCCTCCTCCTCCTCCCCCACAATGACACAATACGAATGCTACTCTCCTCTCTCCCCTGACGACGTCCGGCAAATGGCCGGCCGCCCTGCGCGTAGTGTTTTTTTTACACACAGGATTCCCAGGGAACGGGTTTTCGCTTGGGTCTTTTTTTCTAAATGCTGCTCTCGCCGAGGCGCTGGCTCCATTTTCGGGCCACCGCTCGTTCCGAATTGTGCCCCCGCTGCAGCGCTGGCGACATTTCCGCGCTTCCGCGCGTTCAGAATCGTGCTACCGCTGCAGCGATGGCGTCATTGTTTCCAACGCCATGCCACGGCATGGTTTTCGGTCCTTCCAAATCGGCCCCGACATCTAGAACATGCTCTCCAGAAAATCCATCGGAAGTGATTACACATTCGGTGACGATTCGTTGGTTTTTGAATCGCAGACACCCCTCCCACTTTGGGGCGTCACCGCGACATGCTATGTCAGGCTCCGCGTCCTCCGAATCGTGCTCCCGCTGCAGCGGTTGCTTTATTTCTGCGTTTCGGTCGTTCCGGGTCGTGCTCCCGCTGCAGCGTTGGCGTGACTATTTCCAGGGCCATGTCACGGCATGGTTTCGGTCCTTCCAAATAGGCTCCCAAATCTAGAACATGGCCTCCCGAAGAAGCGACCGGAAGTGATTACACATACGGTTCCGATTCGTTGAATTCCTGGGTCGCAGAAGCCCCCCCCCACTTTGGGGCGTCACCACGCCATGCTATGTCATGCTACGCATTGATCTTAGAACACCGTGCAATGCTATGCCATGCTACGGCGTCCAAATGTGCGACTAGAGAAGAGATCTACGCCACGGAACGGGATGGGAGGGAAGGGTCGAACGTCAGATATGACGCGAGCGCACCTAGCTCGCCCTCCTGCCCCTCCTCCCCCACCTTGCCTCTCCTCCCCTCCCTCTCCCCTGCCTCCTCCTCCGAGGGGGGGGGGAGGCGGGGAGGCAGGAGGCCAGGAGGGGGAGGCCGACGGGGTCGGGAAGGGGGAGAGAGGTGCAGGCACGGAGGCAGAGGGAGGGGGTGGAGTGGAGTGTCGGGAGCCTTGGGACGGGGGGTCAGTGCAAACGGGGGTCAGCCAGAGCGCCGGAATTGGCAGGATCCCGCAGGGGCAGGGTCGCATTGACCCAGGTGGGGGCGCAGGACCCTGCAGGATCTGCCAGGATCCTTCGCATTGACCCGGGTTTGGGCGCAGGGTCTTGCAGGATCCTGTAAGGCCTGGCTGACCTGGGTCTGGAGTGACCTGGGTCAGAAGATCCCCGAAATTGGACGTTTATAAAATCAACTACCCTGAGGCCATTGCTGCCTGCTGGGCTCGGGTCAGCGCCTTCGGCCGCAACCCCTTCATGGAGGGGTTGACGACAGGGAGGGAGGAAGGAGGGGGGGGCGGGAAGCAGGAGGTTCATGGAGAGCAGGGGGCAGGAGAGACGGAGGGCGATCAGCAAGCTCGCGCCTGATGCTGCTCCTCGACCTTGGCCTCCGGATGTCGTTTTTCGGACCCCGGGTCCGATCCAGGGTGAAAAGCTGGCAAAGATGGACCAGACCCGGGCAGGAATTCGGGCACGAATTGCGAAGGACGTGCGAAATGAGGCGGCGGAGAAGGAGGAGGAGGAGGAGGAGGAGGAGGAGAAGGAGGAGGAGGAGGAGAAGGATGAGGAGCAGGAGAGGAGGAGGAGGAGGAGGAGGAGGAGGAGGAGGAGGAGGAGGCGGAGGAGGAGGAGGAGGAGGAGGAGAGGAGGAGGAGGAGGAGGAGGGGAGGAGGAGGTGGAGGGAGGAGGAGAGGAGGAGGGGGAGGAGGAGGTGGAGGAGGAGAGGAGGAGGGAGGAGGAGGAGGAGGAGGAGGAAGAGGAGGAGGAGGAGCAGGTGGAGGATAAGGAGGACGTGAAAGAGGAGACGAAGCAGGAGACGGAGGAGCAGCAGGACGGGGACGGAGACGCGGACGAGGACGAGGGCGAGGATGGCGACGGAGACGGCGACGACGACGACGACGACGACGACGACGACGACGACGACGACGACGACGACGACGACGACGACGACGACGACGAAGACGACGGCCACCACCACGACCACGAACAGCACAGCGACCACCACCACGTCCTCGGCATGCAACGTCAGACAACGACGGGAGGCAACGAACGCCGACGACAGGCGACGGCAGACGGCGGAGAGCGCTCCGCTCTCCCCCGAGCGACGGAGATCCTCAGGACAGCCGCCTGCACTTCATCGGCGGGGCGTGGGCGGGGCGGCGCGGAGCCATGCTTTGAGTTTCCGTCCCGCTCGTTCTCCCTCACCCCCCTCCTCCTCCTCCTTCTCCTCCTCCTCCTCCTCCTCCTCCTCCTTCTTCTCCCTCCTCCTCCTCCTCCTCCTGCTCCCCTCGGGTGCACCCTGCCATCTCCAGTGGAGTGCAATGACAGCCACTGTGGATCACCCTCGTCTGCCTCCGTGGTGGGAGGACCTCCTGTGCGTGTTCTCTCGCCCTGCGCCCTGCGGGGCGATCTCATCCCTGACTCTGTCCCGTCTTTCTCGTCCTCCTCCTCCTCCTTCTCCTCATTCTGCTATGCCTCCCCTTCCTCCTGCACATTCCGCCCAGTTCACTTCTCAGCGTTCCATTTCCTCCTTATGCTGCCCATCCCCCGCCTCTTCCACCTCTTCCTCCCCTTCTTGATGCTCCCTCTCCCCGCATTCCCCCTCATGCTCTCCTTTTCCCCCATCGCTGACCGTCATGCGAATGTCTTTGCTGCAGATATCTCTTCAATATCAGGCAGCTCTCTACTGACGGAGGATTGAGAAGAGAGAGAGAGAGAGAGAGAAGAAAAAAACAAAAAAGAGAAATGGAGAGAGAGAGAGAGAGAGAAATGGAGAGACGAAAAGGAGGGTGGATGAGAAGCAAGGGGAGTGGTGTGGCGGGAAGAACAAGAATGGGTGTACGCCTACCCAGCACAGTCACGCATACACAAATCACGACAGAACCCGATGCACGAGGCCGAATCTCAGCTACATCGCATTAGATACTCTACTCCTCAGTGCAAGCACCCCTTTCCTGCGAACGTGCAGTGAAGCTGAACGCACCTGATGTGCCTTGCACGGGCATGCTTTTCCAGCAGTCAGCGCTTGCAAGGCCATGTACGCCGAGCCTCCGTTTGCATCCATCGCATGGCCGCCGCATGCTCCGCCTGCGAGTCCAGCCGCGTGTGTGTTCCCAGCTTCCCAGCCTCCCAGCAGCAAAGAGTGGACGCGGCCAGAGGGGACAATTGAAGACGCAACGCAGACGCAGAGTTCGCGCGGCTTGCTCTCTTTGATATCCGTGGGCCTCAGAGCCCTAGACCACATCTCCTTGTGTTACAGCCTCGAATAGCAGGATGGAGGGGCGAAGAAAAGGGAGCAGGAGGAGGAGGATGAGGAGGAGGAGGGAAGACACCCCCCGAACGCTCAGCAATGCATGTCCTCCTCCTCTCCTCATCCTCCTCCTCATCCTCGTCCTCTCCTTTCCTCTCCTCTCCTCTTCTCTCCTCTCCTCTCCTCTCCTCCGAGGCTCCATCTCCTCCTCCTCCTCCTCATCCTCCTCCTCCTTCTCCTCCTCCTTTCCTCGTCCCATCAATCATAGGACAGCATCGAGCACATGAATTGCCGGGCATTCGGGCTATTGCTTGAGCCTCTGGAGGCTCGTCGGGGCCTCCGGGCCCCTTCCCCCGGGCCAGCTAGCTCTCCACCCCGGATCGTCCGAGCACCTCGGTCCGCGGTCCTCCTCCTCCTCCTCCTCCTCCTCCTCCTCCTCCTCCTCCTCCTCTCCTCCTCCTCCTCCCCCCTCTCTCCTCCTCCTCCTCCTCCTCCTCCTCCTCCTCCTCACAGGTCGCTTCTCCTCCTCCGCCTCCGGTGGGAAGGGAGGGCAGCGTGCAGGGCCGGGAAGCCAAGCCGCGGGCAGGTCTCCCGGGAGGCACGGACTTCACTTTCGTGCGCGAGGACCGCGCGCTCGCCCGCGCGCCGTCGCTCGGGGGCCGCTCCTCCCGTCCCCCCTCCTCTCCTCCTCCTCCCTCCTCCCCTCCTCCTCCTCCTCCTCCCCTCCTCCCTCCTCCCCTCCTCCTCCAGTCCTCCTCTCCCTCCTCCTCCTCCTCCTCCTCCTCCTCCTCCTCCTCCTCCTCCTCCTCCTCCTCCTCCTCCTCCTCCCTCCTCCTCCTCCTCCCTCCTCCCCTCCCTCCCCCACCCCCCCTCCTCCTCCTCCCCCTCCTCTCCTCCTCCTCTCCCCCTCCTCTCCTCCCCCAGTGTCCCCCCCTCCTCCGTACCCGTTTGAGTGCAAGGTGATCTCCCCTACGCGGGCAAAGCCCGCTGGCGTCCCACGGGCACCGGTGAGCCGCAGCAGACGTCCAAGCATTCTCGCGCGACGCCAGATTGCATTCAAGGCCATGCAGGCGGCGGCCGTCCATCCATCTGACCCAAAGCCGAGGCCCCCACTGTTCTGAGTGGGGTCGTTGTCCACATGGGGCCCCGCTTCACGCGTGTGCGCAGGCAGACTCGCGCACAGACTCGGCCTTCGCGTACAGATTCGCATCGCACTGGTAACAATCAACCCAGTCGGGCCAGTCGCAGACATCATCGCGTGACACCATGCAACGAGACCATGTCAACCAGACCATTGTGCGTAGGAAGTTCTTCAAAGAGCCAGCTGGTCGAAGAGAAAGGCGCGCTCCAGACCAGCGTGCGCCATTGGAACAAAGATGTCGACCAGCTTTCCCTGGCTGGTCTGACGGGGCCTGCCCGGTCCGCCCTGCAGACCACAGGGTCAATTTCGGGCACGAGCGGGCCGTGCGGCCCCGCGTTGAGGACATTCAGGAGTTCGACTGAGCGACTGAGGCGGCGTTGGTGGGCCCCACACGGGGAGATCGTGCCACGCGAAGCGAGTGTGCCGCGGCCGCCCGCTCCGTCGAACAGTTCCAGTCCCTTCTTTCCCAGGTGTGTCTCTCTGGCCTCCGTGAGACCCTGGAAGACCCCTGGAGGCGAGGTTGGGTTTCCCTTGGGGCCAAGGTGCTCCGCCTCTGGGCCTCGGGGTTCTTTTTTGCCTCCTGGAGCTTTGCGCTGTACGGGGACGGCCCTCGTAGGCCGTCTGGGTTAGGCCCAGAGGTGGCCTCGGGCTTTGGCGCCTCAGTGGTGCCCTCCAGCCTGTATAGGCCCCGCAGAACCAGAACCAAAGATGTCGACCAGCAAAGAAAGTAGTCCCGTGGGCGGCATCAGCGGCAGCAGCAAGACCTGCTCAAGGGCGAGGGGAACATAGTCCACCCGTTCGGACCAGTTGGGCGTCAATAGCGACGCGCCCTGGTGTGGAGCGCAAGGCGGCATCGATGGGCCCCGATAGCAGCCGCCAGTATGCAACAATCTCGATCGCCAGTTCGCCGACACTTGCGACGGCCAGCTTGGATCATTCAAATTATTTTGCTTCGAACGATCCCCACCGAAACCTTGGGAGTTTGGTCCCAACGGTGCGCGCGCCTACTGGAAGGATGTACGCAGTGCCCGGCGGCGTCGGCCAGGGCGGCGGCCGGGCCAGGTCGCAAGTTGATGTTTTCCAAATTATAACAACCCCGAGGCCTCGGACGAAGACGAAATCAAACACAAAACGCTTGTTGCGATATCCCCAAACCTGTTCTGAGAGAGTTTCAACCCCCGGTCAGAGGAACAGGAAGAACAGCAGCAGCACCACAAGGAGGAGACGGACGACGAAGGACGAGGAGGAGGAGGAGCAGGAGAAAGGAGGTGAGGCGGACCTCTCCATCCTCCTCCTGGTCCTCCTCATCGTCCTCGTTCCTCCCCCTCCTCCTCCTCCTCCGTTCCCTCATCCTCGCCCTGTTCTTCGTCCTCTTTCCTCATCATGCGCCTCGCCCTCGTCTTCTTCGCTCCCCCGAGCATACGCGGGGCGCGCGGCGGCCCCGCGCGAAGCCTCCCCGGCACGTGGGTATCCGACACCCATGGGTGCACGTTGGCTCAGATCTGTCACCATATGGTTGGAGATGTTATGGTATGATCCGCGTTGCGACACTATGCTAAGGCGTGCTATGCTGACATCTTATGCTGTAGTGTGCTCTGTTCCATGATGTTGTTGACGGCTCGGCTCAGTGCGTTATGTTATGATCGGATCGGCTAGTATGTTTTGCAATGATATGGTGCCGTCTTATGATATGGTATGTGTCCGTGTGGCATGGTATGATGTGTCCTGCCATCGTTTGTTATGTTATGATCGTTTATATCCGGTTGTTATGCTACGTTCTGGTATGGCATGTGATGTTGTGTTTGTGTACGGCTCGGGACAGCATCATATATTACAACCTGCTATGTTCGAATATGGCGAAATGCGACAGTGTCGTGCTATGCTGCGTTCAGGTATGAAGTGCAAGGTGTGTTCTGTTTCCTCGGTCGCGCAATGTATGTTGTGTTATAACGCCTCCAGTTGCACCATGCCATGCTATGATGTGTTTTTAGCTGTGATATCTTGCGAACAGTGGCATGATGTTGCTATGTTGTGCTTTGCCATGTTTGACATACTCGCGCTATGTTATGTTATCTTCTGGCGTGACATATTGTGTTGCAATGTGTTCGCCGCTATGTGGGGATGTCGACTTTGATGTGTTTGGTGACGTTGTGTCATGATACGTATGCTATGCCAGTGAGGCTCCATGTCAGTTCGGTTATGGTATGTCGTGTTACGTTTTGGCATGTTCTCGGATGAGCTGGCTTATGTTGGGTCATATTATGTCATGCTCTTGCTTTGTTACGTCATGTGCTCTTGTGTCATATTGTATTCTATCGTGTTTGTCGAGGGCGCGAGGCGGGATAACCGGGACATTCGGGACAACCTGGGGTCTGGCGGCCGCGGTATGCAGGGTGTGTTATGTCGTGTTCGTCGAGGGCGCGAGGCGGGATAACCGGGACATTCGGGACAATTCGGGGTTTTGCGGCCGCGGTGTGCAGCGTGTGTTGTGTCGTGTTTGTGAGGGCGCGGAACGGGATAACCGGGCATTTCGGGACAACTTGGAGTCTGGCGGCCGCGGTGTGTTTTCTGTTGTGTTAGTCGAGGGCGCGAGGCGGGTTAACCCGAAATCTCGGGTCAATTTGGCGTGTGGCGGCCGCGGTATACAGGGTGTGTTTTGTCGTGTTTGTCGAGGGCGCGAGGCGGGATAACCGGGACATTCGGGACAATTTGGGGTCTGGCGGCCACGGCATGCAGGGTGGGAGTGGCCGGGAGGTCTGTTTTTGAAGTCTAGCGACCCCAACCTGCTCGGTGGGGAAAAGTTGCTGACGACGAGCGGGCGCAGATGGCAACCTTCATGTTGAACGAGCATAATCCTGCATATGCAGGGCATGGTCCAGCGAATCGCAGAGCAGACGTCAGCGCTGGCCCCCACAGCGCAGAAACCGTCACATCGCCAAGCGAACGACCGCGCGCCACGAGCGAGAGCATGATGAGCTGAGTGGCATCGTCGCAGAGCTTCAACGCACAGTCGCCGAAGCAGAAGCAGCAGCTCCCATCGTGGTCAATCATTCTCGGAGGCGTGGGTTCGACATCTGACCCCGCATTGCCTCGCCACATCCACCTTTTGCGCTCAAGAAGCAGCAATGAAATATCATACAGCAGAGTGGTTGGAAGCTTCTGGTGCGCGGCCTGAACATGTCAACCTCTATGGCGACGCGCCAAGCCACAAACTCTCATGTCAAATCCACGCAGTTGCGCAGCCGGAAAGTTCCAATGCCATCAGGATGGATGGCGCCAATTCGCTGCGCTTGGCGTTGAATGACGCCGACGGCGCGACGCAGCGGCGCAAATTCACTATGCCCTGTGCCTGGAAGCCAGGGGGTCCCGCGCTTCGCTGGGCATCACCTACAGGCTCTATGGCGCCGCTATCTTGTTCGAAATCAGCCATGTCACGCGGTTCTATCGCCTGCATGACTTCCTTGGGACCAAAGACGCCCAGGAAATCCGAAAACTCCTGCACAGACTGCCGAACCCTTTCGGCAAGGATGGGATCCACGGCCTCGCCAACTGCATGCCGCTCGCCCAGCATGGCGCCAACGCTTGCGCGGCAGCCATCCCGCTGCGCGCGGTCCAGTGCACCCTGCTGGATTGGGGAAAGCATTGCGACGCCTGCCTGCACCTCGCGGACCAGGAGATGGAGGCCCGGGGACTTCGCAAGGGGTCGGCTGTGCGCGTCCTGCTGCAAGGGCAGGGGGTCCATCGCGCAACGCCTGCACGCCGCGCGACGCTCTCGCCTCTCGCGGTGGCGGGACGGCGGCGCCGGCCATGAACGACCGCGCGCGCAAGAGGCGCAAGCGGCCTTGCCAGAGAGACGCGGCGCACAGCCCGCAGGGGTGGACGTCCCAGAGCACGGAGAGCACTGCCACCGACGCGCTGGAGAGCCACCGGCTGAGGAGGCGGAGTGGAGGGAGGAGGGGAGGTGAGAGCGCGTGGGCCGGCTCCCCCTGGGAGGCGCGCCTTCTCTGTTGTTTTCTCTCTTTGCCCGTCCCAGGCTTAGCACAGCGGGGCCCGCGCCTCCAGCAACAGGCAGACAGACAGGGCACACCCAGCGTCAGGCCCGCGTCTGGCGACGGCCACCCCGCCACTCGGAAGAGCCACTGGCTGGAGCCCGACCTCGGCCCTCCGCGGGCCAGGCGCGCCGCGACGCGGTGGCCCGACGCGCGCCCGCCGCCGGGAGCGCCCAGGGCCAGCTTCGCCGCGGCCAGGCAGCAGGCAGCGCGACTCATCAGCACAGGGAGCTCATCGCGACAGTGGCGCCCCACGTGACGCGGAGCGGGCTGGATCCTGGGTAACAGGCGGGGCGCATGCACGTGCGGAGCGCCATATGACGCATCCTGGGCCGCGGCGGCAAGAAGGGCGAGATCGTTCGCAGCTCCGGCGGCTGCGCGAGGCTCCAGTGGCTGCTGGAGCATCCGCGAGGCTGCTCCGCCTCGGACCCGTTCGCGCGGCTGGGCGTAGCGAGCGGCCGCAATCACGCGGCGCCGAATCGCGCGAGTACGCCCTTCGCTCGTGCTCGCGCAGAGCGCAATGGCCCTGACACGGACTGCGAGCGTTGACGCCCGTCCTCCGCCGTCGCAGGGAAGCCTGGGCGTTCCACCCCAGTCTGGCGGAGCCGAACAACGTCAGGGGCCGCGAAGAAGGGGGTGATGACTAGGGGGGGGGTTATCATGGCGTGGGCCATGATATTTCCTTGGATTTCATGGCGCTTCTCCTTGTTTCATTACGTTCCTGGCACCCCCCCTGGGCCGCGCACGTGGCGCCGGCCATGATTTGCGCCCCCCCCTCTTGGACGCCCCCCTCATGGCCGCCCCAGACAACGACAGCGGCGTCTTCGACGCGGAGTCGGAGGTCTCCACGCCGCCGCTGGGCGCAGCATGCAGATGCGCGCCTCCCACCGCTCCACCCTTGCCCGCCTCGGCGTCGGGAGCGACAGTGCCCAGGGCCTTGGCGATGCCGTCGACGCGGCCGGCTTCCTCGGCAAGACGGCGCAGCAGTGTGCGGCACGGGCGGCGCAGTTGCCAGGCTGGCGCACGGCTCGCGCCACCTCGTGTCCCGTCGCTCCTCCTCTCCCCCCCTTGTTGTAGTTGAGCCTGCACTTTGCTTTCGGGCGCTCGGTGTGTCGGTGCTCCTTTTCTTTGGTCGTGTTCCTCCGCTCGTTTGTCTGTGGTTCCTGGGGCCCGTCCTTCGTTCTCTTTCGGCCCCCTCGGGCCCCTTCCGTCGTGCGTCGGCTACGTGCAGGAGTTATCGTTCTGACGATAACCCAAGGATATAACAAACAGGGGCAAGGGCAGACGGCGGCCTTTCAAGGAGGTCTCTCGGCTTGCAGAAGCAGCGGGAAACGTGGGGGGCGATCCATTATTTGAACCCCCCCCCTGCCTTTTTAGAAGGCCGCCTTCCCCAGGTCTGAGGACGGGATTGTTCGAGCCGCTGGCCCCTGTAACCCTCAACCATTCCCCGCCGGGCCAGAATCCGTCCCGTGTCGTTACCCGTTTGCCACGAAGCCTTGGGAGTTTCTGCGTTTGTTCGGCAAGGTCGGAAGAGCATTCGCGATTCCATTACCGGGGCCGTGAGAGCTTCAAGTGAGCAGATCGTCCGTGAGTTTCGGAGATCGGAGTGCTGCGCTGGATTCCCATCGCTCTACAGTCGGGCCGCTGAAAGAAGGAACGCTAAATATGGAACGAAGCACCTTCTTGGACCTGTAAGCGCCTCCGTGCCCAAGGAGGGCAAGAGGAACAGCACTGGAGGAACCTGAGGAACATCGAGCCCCTTCCGAATCCAAACTGTTCCTTATCTCAGCGTCTTGACTGTAGCTGGGATGTGGTTCGGTGTCTTGTGCCCCTGCTGATAGGCCAGAGCTGCCTGTAGGCTCTGCGAGCTGGGGGCGCACACACTCACAGCGCAGCAGCAGGACCCGCTCGGGACCTCTCCCCTCTCCCCGTTCCCCCCTGCTTCCCCACCTCCCCAGAGATCCAACGTCGTGATTTTTGTCAATGCTTCAGGAGGGAAAAAACACACAGACACAATTGATCGTCGATCCCCGAGAACATATAGGAAAATATGGGGAGTGGGGGGGGAGACAGAAACCCAGAACACATATTGGAAAATATGGGGGATCCTTTTATTTGTGTGTATTTATTTGTATGTCCCAGGGCCCCTTCACATGCGGGGTCCCGGGAAATCCCTGCCCATTCCCCAGGACCAGTTTTTCGTCTTTTGTCGTTTTTTGATAGCCCCGAGGCCCGGCGAGGGCCCTGATGGGGCCGAACGCTGCGAAACACCTCCGTCTTGATTTTTGTCCATGCGTTGGATCTCTGGGCCCCCCTCCTCCCCTCTCTCTTCCCCCCTCCTGGCTGCTCCTCGCACGCTCGCCGCCCGGCCCTCCTGGCCGACCGAGGAGCCCTTCTCCAAGGGGGGCGAGAGCGACACGGTCATCACCCACTTCGGCGGGCCCGGGCGCTCACCCCCCCTCCGCCCGAGTCGGGGGCGGAAAAGAGGGGGGTGATGACTAGGGGGGGTGGATATCATGGCGTGGGCCATGATATTTCCCCAGATCTCATGGCGCCTCTTCTTATTTCATGACGTCCCTGGCCCCCCCGCGGGGCCGCGCACATGCCGCCGGTCATGATGTGCACCCCCCCCTCTTGGACACCCCCCTCTTGGCCGCTCCCGACTGAGGGCGCGCGCCGAGCTCGGAGCCCTGGATGCGGCGGCGGCCCAGCAGCGGGGCGCGGAGGGCGCCTGCCCGAAGGAGTTCCGCTTCCCTGTGGCCCCCAGAGTCCCAAGGTTTTGACAACATCCAGACGGAGGTTTTTCGCCATTTGCGGCCCCTGGGGACCCTCGCCGGGCCTCGGGACCATCAAAACACGACCCAGGACGGAACAAAAGAGGTCCCGAGGAAAGGGTCGAGATGTCCCAGGACCCCGCATTGAACAAAAATCGCGACATCGGATCTCTGGGGACACCTATGCTTCGCATCGCCTCATCCCGATGCACATTCCTAAGACTGTCCTCGCGTTAAGCCGGCCCCCCCACCTACATGCCCACAGGCGGCGCGCGGCGCGGACCCCTGATGGCCGCGGCGGCGACCCGTGAGTGGAACTCAGGAAGTCATCACGGTGGGGAGCCTGAGTGCCAAGTCAGGCCCCAACAAATGTAGCAGAGAATAAGAGTCCAGAACACGTGCCGAGGTTATTGTACTTGTGTTGGGTCCTCGTTTTGGAGAGACAGCGCCCCGCGTTCTCATCCTCCTCCTCTCCTCCTCCTCCCACTCCTATCTCCTCCCATGCGTGCCTCTGCCCTCCGAATGTCCATTTCGGCACTCTGCCCTCCGCATGCCCATATCGGCACACCCCTCACACGGTTCGTGGCCCAATGGGGAGCTCCATTGAAGGCCACAGTAGCCGCGTCATGCGCACCCCCGCCCACCGCATGCCAATTCCAGCACACCTCTCACGCGCTTCGTGGCCTCATAGGGAGCTCCACCGAAGGCCCCAGTGGCTGCGGTCGCATGCGCCCCCCCGCCCACCGCATGCACACTTCGGCACACCACTCACGCGCTTCGTGGCCCCATATGGATCTCCACCGAAGGCCCCAGTGGCCACATTCGTATGCGGCCCCCCGCCCACCGCATGCCCACCGCGGCACACCGCTCACGCGCTTCGTGGCCCCACAGGGTGCTCCACCGAAGGCCCCAGTGGCTGCGTTCGCATGCGGCCACCCGCCCACCGCAGGCCCATTTCGGTTCGTGGCCACACAGGGAGCTCCACCGAAGGCCGCAGTGGCTTCGTCGCCCATTTCGGCACATACCTCACGCGTTTCGTGGCCCCATGCGGAGCTCCACCGAAGGCCCCAGTGCAACCGCCTGCGCGCGCTTGGGCCGTCCGTTTCGGCACACCCCTCATGCGCTTCGTGGCCCCATAGGGAGCTCCACCGAAAACGGTACCCACAACGCGTACTCGCAGCTGCATATGGTTTGGCCCATCGCCAGGCTAATTTCCGTGACGTAGGATCTCAGGGTCCCCATGGTGTGCCAGGGTCGTCGACGACGACACTCCTGCCGTCGTCGCCGTTTCGTTCTGTCCGCAGCGTGTTGGGAGTTATCTCGTCGCCGCATCTGGACGCAGTTCGTAAAAAAAAGCCAGGGCGGTCTGGTGATCGTTTGCTTATTCGTTGTTTTGCCGATCGGCGCGGGCCCTCGCACCCCCTCCCCCTCACCCCCTGGAGTTAGATCTTGGCTGTTTTTGGCGCCTGCCTCAAGCCGAAGGAGTCTCCCCCAGAGGACACACTGTCGCAGACAACCGCATTCGGCAAAGGTCTGCAGCCAGACCCCCCCACCCCACCCCCTTCAGCCCAACGTCGAGACGCCGAACAAGAAAAACGTGCACCTGGGGACAGGTTTTGAGCATCAGCTCTCGATGACAAAGTGACCTTTCGGAGACGGGGCCCAGGGCTCAGCGAGCGAAGAACGGCATACAATAAACTTTTTCGCTGTCGGGGGCGCCTGTCCCTGGGCGGCTGGAAAGTTTATACCCTTACGGTGGCACCGTAGGGGTATAAACTTTCCAGCCGCCCAGGGGCAGGCGCCCCCGACAGCGAAAAAGTTCATTTTATATACCGTTCCTCGCCCGTTGAAGGGCCCCGTGGCCCCCGTGCAGAGTGCAGTCGTGGCGTCGAAGGGCTGGCGGCGCCCACGGCGCCCTGCCCCGGGGCGTCCAGCGGCGCTGTGAGACGCTCGGGGCCCTCGAGGGTCGCCCGAGGCGTCCAGCGCGCCAGGTTTTGCAGTGCTGTGCTGTGCGCTGCGATGTTTGGCGATGCTTCGCAGTGGTCCCCAGATGGCCCGTTGAGAGCTAAGAGGGTTCCTTACGAGAGGCCAGGGCCGCAGCCTGGCCCTGCAGCGCGCCTTCTGGCCTCCGTTTTCCAGCGCCGCCGCGGCTTGCTTCAAGCTCCTTCGGAAGCTCCTCCCAAGAGCTTTCAGGGCTCCTCCCAGAGGCCTTTGAAAGGCCTTCTGGCGCTCCGCTATCTGGGTCTACAATTTCATAAGTGTGCGATGCGCCGCCGGCTCGTAACATGAAAGCTAAGAACCGCATCTGAAGTTTTTGAAGTCAACAGCACAGAACGCAAAGCTGTTTCTGCGATTGCACGTGTGGTTTGATTTCCACTGAAAGGCCATCGGATCTTTGTGACCGTTTCGGCCAGTTTTGTTGTTTTTGTTTCGCACTTTGGATTTCGCGTCGGCAAGCCAGTTCTGGGAGCCACCCCGCTTGGCGCAGCTAGTGGGTCAAGTCAAGCGCTTGGTTCAACCGGCCGCCTGGAATAGGCAGTTTTAGTCACAGAAGGGGGAACACTAAGGAACGCGCAGCACAAAACGATGAACAAACACAGTCCATGGACGAGGCTAGAATGCGGCCGTGGGGGGAGCACCTGATATCAGGGCCATGCGTTGTGCCATCAGTAGGCATTTGAGCCGAAGCGCCTGGCTCCAGGAAGTGTTTCGCTGGAGCACGCTGGCAAAACGCGGCACGCGCGCCGCTCCCGCCTATAATTGCTTGATTGTGTCATCATGGGCTCGAACCTCGGCGCACCTGTGTTTGTCATAGGCTATACGTTGCAGACTGTTTTTGCGCTTGGGCCATTCTTTTCCTACGGGTTGTGTCTAGGCTTCTTCCTCGAGGCTGGCAGCTTGCGACTTCTGCGATGGGCTGCGATGGACACGCTTGTCCGCGGCCTGCGCCAACACTCCGTGCCGTCGAATAGTTGTAATGGGCGATGGCCTGGCCCAGGAGGCGCGAACCCAGCGTAATGTACGACGGGTCGTGGCCCTGAGATCGTGGACGCTGTGCGATTCGCGAGGGGGCGCGGCCTCCGGAGCGCGGGGAAGAAAGCGCAGTTCACGAGGGGTCCTGGCGTAATGTACAACGGGTCGTGGCCCTGGGCGCGTGGAGGCTTTGTAATTTACAACGGGATCGTGGCCCTGGGAGCGCGGACGCAGCGTAGTAACTCACAAAGGGATCGTGGTCCTGGAGGGCGGACACGGCGTAATGGATTGGGGATCCTGCCGCTGGGTGCGCGAAGACAGCGTGTTTCGCCAGGGAGCGCGGCCCTGGGAGCGCGGACGCAGCGTCGTTTACGATGGATCGCGGCCCAGGGAGAGCGGACGCGGCGTAATTTACGATGGGTCGTGGCCCTGGGAGCGCGGACGCAGCGTCGTTTACGATGGATCGCGGCCCAGGGAGAGCGGACGCAGTGTAATTTACGATGGGTCGTGGCCTTGGGAGCGCGGATGCAGCGTAGTTTACTAGGGATCGTGGCCCTGGGAGCGCGGCCGCAGCGGAACTTACGGGGGATCGTGGCCTTGGGCAGTCGGTATTCGGGGTCTTGCCAATGGGTGCGCGGACACAGCACAATTAGCGAGGGGTCGTGGCCCTGGTGGCGCGGACGCAGTGTAATGTACAAAAGATCGTGGCCCTGAGAGTGCGAACCCAGCGTGATTCACGAGTGATCGGGAGCGCGGGCCAAGTGTAATTTACGAGGGACCGTTGCCCTGGAGCGTGAATCATGTGTCATTTCTGATGGATCGTTTCCTTGGGATCGCGAATCCAGGGTAAGTTTCGGGGGACCGTGGCCTTGAGAGCGTAGCTCCCGCGTAATTTACGAGGGATCGCGGCCATGGGAGCGCGGACGCCGCGTGATTTGCGATGGATCGTTGTCTTGGGAGCGCGGACGCAGCGTTCCCTGGCATGGTGGCACGTCCGTGGGCACGTTCCGTGGCGCGTCCCCCTGGCACGTTCCGTGGCGCGTACCCCTGGCACATCGCGCGGCGAGTCCCCTGGCACGTCCCCTGGGACGTCCATTGGCACCATTCAGTGGCGCGTCTCCTGGCATGTCACTGCGCGGCAATGCACAGTGCAGGGAAGCACAACACAGCCCCTGGCACAGTAGCATCACCATTGATACCTGGCACGTTCCCTGGCGCCTCCCCTGGGCGCGTCGCGCGACGCGTCCCCTGGCACGTTCCCTGGCACGTCCGCTGGCACGTCCCGTGGCGCGTCCCCCTGGCACGTCCCATGGCGCGTACCCCTGGCACATGGCGCGGCGCGTTGGCCCTTTCCCGTGGCGCTTCCACTGGCACGTTCAGTGGCACGTCCCCTGGGCACGCCATTGTGCGGCGCGGCACAGCGCAGAGAAGTACAACACAGCCCCTGGCACGGGTCATTACCATGGATATCTGCAGCAGTGCCACTGTCCATCGCCCAATTCAGGTGCTGAGACACGTTTCCATTCCTCGCAGTTCTAAATCCCTTTCCGGGTGCGTGGGCCGATCATGTTGCCCGGAAAGGGCGTGGGCCCAGGGCTTTCAGTTAGCTGGTTTACCCCCGGGGTCGACTTTCAGAGGGCCGGTGAAGTTCGGCTCGAAAGGAGAGAAGGTAAAGTCCAATCCTCATGG